ATTAAAAGTAAACTTTGCAAAGAAAAGGACTAAACCAAATTATAACCCCGTAACATATATTCTTCTGTAGCCCCAAGATCTGGCCCAAAAAGCTCTGTGAAGAATTAGTCACATTAGGGGTATCACACTATTTTAATTCAAATTGTCAAATCAACACTAGCCAGCTAAATGAATGCAGATCAATATCATCTTCATTCCTATATTAATTGCAGGAGTTGAACACAGAAAATACATTCAGAAAAAAAAAATACCTAGGAAGTAACACTCAATTGATGCTACTCTTCATTAATAATCACTATAAAGCATATTATCTTTCTGAGCCTAGTCTACCATACACATTTAAAGTCAAATGATTAGTCAAAGACTTGAAAATCTTCCAAGTAATTGTAAGGAAGTTCCAAACTGGCACTGAGGGTATTAAGTGTTATGTAACAAGGAAGTGAAAGAAGTTAAATTAACTGCAGAAAATTCCTCCTTGGGACAAAATTGAAGAGAATACTTATATCAGAACTGATTTGACAGCAGCTTTGTGTTGTGATTAAAAAAAAAAAGATAAATAATCTCCTTCAATGGTTATTTAAAAATAAAAACTACAGATACAAGGAAATAAAAACTACTTTTAGGAGATGAAAAAAAAAACAAAAGAGTAGGATATCCAACACCCCATTTTCAAATTTAAAATCATATTGTTAGTTGACCAAAGCAGTTCAAATTCAAAGTCTGTGCTATGAAACTGTATAATTATGTTCTATTAAGGGTTGGATAACACCAATGCACTGCAACAATTTGCTTCCTAAATTATTTCCACTGACAGATAAAAGACATGAGAAATAAGGTTAACTAAACTTACATATAAATCCAAGAAAAGTTTTCAGTTCGATTTAAAAACAAAACAGAAACAAGCTTCAAAATAAATCACAGTATCTTCTATTTACATATAACTTAGCAAAACCTTCAGTAAATGTCCAAGTTTTAGCATACACTGTCACTGTCTTTAGATATTCCAATTAAATGAACCACTCTTTCCTTGGTCTGAATGAATAGAAGCCTGCTAAAACAAATGCCAATGCGTTTAAAAGCTTAAGAACAAAAAGGTTTAAAAACATAATCCTCCCAGATGGAAGGGAAGGAATCAGAAGTTCAATACCCAGTTCACTAAAGAAAATGACAGCTAAAGTCTTTCTGAATACAGATTCTAATATAGATTTCATTATTCAAACTCCCCCCACACAGTACTGGAAAAATATGAGGCAATTTCACAAAAAAATCACAAATTTAGTGGAATAATTATAACTGATATATAAATAAGGATTTACTAAAAAAAGGCTTCCAGGGGTGATATTTCAAATCAAAGTTTTAAATACAAAAGGTGTCTTATGTTGCTTAATCATCCCAAGTTTCTGATGCTCTTTATTCTACAGATTCGGCTAGATTCCGCGGGAAATCAACATCATAGCCTCTCAACACAGCAAGGTGGAAAGCCAGCAACTGTACGGGGATCACACTGAGAATGCCTTGCAAGCAGTCCACTGAGTGGGGCACCTTGATCATCCTTTTCGTGTTCTTAATGGTCTCAGTATCCTCATCACAAATTACAACAGGACGACCCTGCCGGGAGACCACCTGCTGATTCAGTTTAAAGTATCCTTTTTCTGCTTTTAGATTGTTACATCTTAAAATTTGACTGGCTGCCAATAGAACAGTATTAACCTAAAAGAGCAAGTTAACCCTATAATCGCAGTATAAAACAATGCACAAGAAGTGTTACCAAAACTAGTTTTCACTAACAGCTGACTGTCGCAGAGCAGAAGTGTGAGCAACTCCTAGGCTGGAGCAAAAGAAGCCAAACAATGTAAGACAAAGACTTTTGAAAACCAAACCGAAAGAAGAACCAGGGACTCTCAGGGAATCTCCTTAATCTCCTGTTCCAAAACCAGAACACTCTGACCAGAGGGTCTTGAGGAGGGGAAAAAATCAACCTCCCTCCCCGTAAACAGAGAGACAGAGTTCCTACCAGAGGGGCAAAGAACCTTTCCCGCCCCTGCGGCGGGGAGTCCACTAGCACATCTGCCTGGACCGCCCTCCCTCCAAAATGATCCAGATCACAAATTACCAGTTCAGACATTAACAGGAAAAGAAACACACAGAAGCAAAGAAAAGGAAACCAAGGACAAACTATTTCTACAAATTCTAATAAATTACACAATTGCTGGTGCCCTACTCTAGCACCACCGACACACAGTAAATCTTTAAGCATAGGTACAAAAAGCATGCAACTCTTGCCTGTTCCCATTTCTAATATTTATAAGAAAACTCACCGCTCCCCTTCTGCCTTCCTTTCGAAGGTCCTCTTTTTTCTTTTTGTTGAGATCTTTTTAGTGGGAGTTTTGAGAGCAGTGTTTAACAAAGCCCAATAAGAAAAGGTACTTTCTGGAAAACGATCGGGCTCAGCCACAAGGGCCTTCTGCAGCTGTTTACCTATTTTTCCCCAGACTTCTAAGATTTATTTCAGCCTCATCACACAACCACGGACAAACTTCATCCAATATTTTCACAAATGCTTCCAATTGAGCCTTCTTAACTTTAACCCCTTGTACTTTTAGCAACTTTTGTATAGAGTTGCCTACATAACCTCTAGATTCCATTTGACCCATATTTTAACTAAGAATTTGAGGGCTTACACCCCTTGTTACTACTGCCGTGATCAGGACTACCGTCCTGTCACTCACCGTCAGGAGCCGTGGGGATCAGTCGCGGTTCTTGCTGTAGTGCCCTGGATTTCAGGGCGCTCTCCTCGATGTCCCTCTTACTCAGGTCCCTGTTCGGGCCCTGCCAGCAGGTCGCAAACTCGAGGGAAGAACAGGAGAGCAAACAGTCTCACAGACGTAGTCCCAGGTTCATGCTGTCTTCGTAACAAGGCCCCGTTTGTTTTTTCAGGGTGGAGTATATATAGGCTAAAACCGAAACCAAAAGTGTGAATAGGGCGTAGCTGACTGCAAAGGTCACAATGCTCTACAAAACAAGTATTATGGGTTACATTTGCTAGGCAACAGGTCAGACCACCTGTTGAACTAGCCCGTTGCTATGGGCGACAGCACGTCTGTGCCAGCGAGGTGACTCAAAGTTCAATCATGGCTGTGCTTATGTCAAGGATCACCACACTTCTCCATTGTTGGTGGGAGTGCAGACTGGTGCAACCACTATGGAAATCAATATGGAGATACCTCAAAGAGCTGGGACTAGAGGTTCCATTTGACCCAGCCATCCCTCTGCTGGGTATCTTTCCAAAACAATTAAAAGAATCACACCACAGTGATATATGTGCACCTATGTTAATAGCAGCACAATTTGTAATAGCTAAAACTTGGAAATAGCCTATTTGCCCATGAGTTGGAGACTGGATAAAGAAGATGTAGTTTTTCTATAAAATGGAATACTACTCAACCATAAAGAATGAGAAATTAGATTCATTCATAGGAAAATGGATACATATTGAATATATACACCTAAGAGAAATAAATTAAGTCACACATGTGTAAATACCGAATAGTTTCTCTGGTGTGAAAAACTATAATAGTACCTAAGATCCTAATGAGATAAAAGTAATTTACTTTAAATCAGTAGCGAAGTCACTGATTTACTCCAAGGAAGCTTATATAAGAGAAGGCACTTTTGAGAATTTTTCTCCACAAATATTTATCATTAGCATTAGCAAAATATCTACATGAACATTATTGGCATAAAATTTTTTTCAATCATTAAGTTAAAAATGTTTACTGTGCACCACAATCAAGGCATGATATTAGGTGTTAGGGAAGATGGAAATATAGCTCTCTATAGGTATTTATAATCAAGCAAGGTAGAGAAAATAAAAGGCAAAGCAATTTGATTACTACTACAGGAATGGTGGGGAAAAATAAGTGTTATGAAGGATTTAAAGTACAAAAGCACATATTCGCCATTAAACTAGGGAACTTTAGTGGGAATACAAGTGAAAATGAAAAATTAAAACTAGACGTACAAATAAGACAGATAATACAAAATGAGGGAATGTTATCAAGATACTTGTATCCCTCAATCCAGACATCTTGTATATTTTAAAATGATTAATATACTAATTTCCATAGATCTAGATCCATGACTATAATCATAAGTAAAAATTGGTGTCGTTATAGGAATTATTGCGGAACGCTGTACTCATCATAGATTCACTTTTACTGATGTTTACAATGTGTGTCAATATTTTGATATCATTGTGCAAGGCTTACTTCGGTAGATTGTGAACGCCAGGAGTACCCCAAATGATAGTCTGTGAACTGTTTACAAAATATATATATATAGGATCTTAGGATAATGATAGTCCTCTGTAACATCTGGAGTTCTTAAGTGGTACAAAATGTGATTCTAGTACGAACTAACTTCTCTCACATATAGATCTCTTTGGCAAAGTTTATGGCCCAAATCAGACTCTAGCGGCTATGTCGCTGTGTGCCTATGGAGTCACGCACTGAAACTCGTCTCAATTTGGACTACCAAACCCATCATGCAACGCTCCCTAGTCCCACCGGGCGGGGCGGAGTCGTAGAAGGGGCGGTGTCAGCGACGGCCACTGCATTGTGGGCATTGTAGTCTGGGACCCGGCCGCCGAAGGGCTGGTCCACGTGGTGCATTCGGAGGCCGCTTTGGGCAGCGGCCCCTTCTCTCCTTGCACGCAGCCCTTGTGTTGTGGACGCCAGCAGGGGTGTCTACCCTCAGCTGGCGCCGGCTGGAGGAAGGGCCAGCGGCAGCCGGAGGCTTCGCGACGTTTTTGCGACAGCCGCGGCCGTGTTCCGCGAGTGCCCTCCCTCCTCTCTGAGGAGGTACCGGCTGTTGTGCGGCGCAGCCTTTCTGTTTGAGTGTATGGGAGAGTGAGTGAGTGCGAGCGAGCGTGAGAGGGAG